ATATATATATCTCACTCTCACTCTCTTTCTCTCTTTCTCTCTCTCACACACTCTATCTGCCTCTCTTTCTATCTGTCTCTCTCTCTGTCTCTCTCTCTGTCTCTCTCTCTGTCTGTCTCTCTCTCTCTCTCTCTCTCTCTCTCTCTCTCTTTCTCTGTCTCTCACAATGTCCCACAAAACTTACTAGAAGATGCTAGAACTATGGATAGGGCTATAGCTCAGGCCATGAACAGTAGGAGTCGATTAGGTGAAAGTGAAAGTAAGAATCAGAATAGCTTTCTTCTTCTTCCAAGTCTAGTCCAAGTAATATGCATGTACAAATCGAGTAGTCCTAGTTGGAGGAAGAGTAGCACTAAATCTATTAGTTGCAGATGTAACAAAACACAAGGTGAGAAAATGACAGTAGTATCTGTGTGTGGACTTCATACAGAGGTATAACAATAGGATCATGTACACCTATCGGGACTCGATTTCATGCTTCCACACCAAACCAACATACGTAAATTAGAATTAACTGCTCGTATGCTGTTTCTGATTTATTCAGAAAGTGCTCTGTAATACATAGAAGACGTAGTGTGAACACTCCATGCAGGAAAGTTATTTTTTGTTAGATGGTTTTATTACAGATTGGGTGCACAAAAATGTGCTTAACCCTTAGACATAACCATTTCAAAATATTGATAAAATAAAATCATTGGGACAAATGAGATGCAGTTTTCTGTTTCTGTGAAAGCATTTCTTTCTTTCTTTTGCTGCATTAAAAAAATTGTGATATCTTTCACAGTCTCTATGTGGTTAACGATTCAATATACCCCAAAACTATCGGGGTGCAACTTTTGTTGGTTAAAAAATAGCCCAGGCTCAAGTGACTTAATGAGCTTCAAGAAAGCATGGGATATGAGCCCCCCAAAAAATGTATCGAATTTTAATGACCATAATAACAGGTCTGAGGTCTAAAATGTCAAAAGTTCAAAGTATGGTGTGAATCTCTGAATAAATCGACTTTGAGCTGTCGGAGACAACTTAATCACTTTTAGGGAGTTTTCAAGGATTTCCACCTCGCTGGTAAAATACACATTCCCCTACTTTGCAATTGGTAGGACGACAAACTCAGAATGTATTTAGTAGGCTTTCATGATCTGGAGGTTACGATGTTCGTCTCTCTTTCCTTTTTCAAAACCTGACAATGACGGAACATTTTCTTGTATAAAATCCTCTCCCTTCAGCTCCTTTCTTGCTTTCTAGCCATGGTCTGTCGTTCTCTTTCGTTTCCACTTTCTGCCCTCACTCCCCATCCCCCTTTGCGTCTCCCTATTGGCTCCTGACTCTCTCTCTCTTTCTCTCTCTCTCTCTCTCTCTCTCTCTCTCTCTCTCTCTCTCTCTCTCTCTCTCTCTGCCCCCTTTCTACTGCTACTCCTTGGCTTCCTCTTAGACCTACAGCCTCACACCTGATCTTAGGTAAGATCTAACACCAAGCCTTCTGGGATAAGGGCGAAACATCTCGGAGGCTCTGTGTGCAAGTTCTGCCTGTTAAAGATCCCGTAGTGGATAAATATCGATAAGAATAGGCTTCGGTCTCCACCAGGGCAAAATTCAAAATTAATTTCTACTAAACTGAAAATGTTTTATCTCTCCAGCACGTTCATATGACCTAATGCAATGCGAGCACCGTAAAACATTTACCAAAATGAAACAAAATAAGTATTTAATATACATGCACGTATATAATCGTATACTTCGCTGGACTGCCCATATCGTAAGAATGCTTGATTTCAAAATTCCGAGGTCAGTATCATATAGTGGCTTCGAAAAGAAATTTGAAATGTAATCACCCAATCATCGTGTTATAGTCTAGTACTACCCGCTCATGCAGCAGACCACTTTAAAGCTAATTAGATTCGGCATCAGCATCTGACCTAACAATATTTTATCCATGTTAAGAAACGCCTGAGATAATAACAATATGGTCACTCAAAACTGACCTTAAAAACACAGGCTTTGCAAAATTGCGCGAAATCAGGGAAACGTAAAAGTGTTTTCGTTCGTATATCGAGGTGCATCAACATTGGTGGTGAGGAATTGTTATTGAATATGAAATGAAAAAAGAATCTTGTTGTTTCTGCTATGAACAACATTTTCTGGTAATATTTTCGAACAGATTGAAAAACAGAGCAGTTACAAATACCATGCAAAACTTGGACTTAACAGTTACACGTGTTCTTTAGTTTGAACTTTGATTTGGTTTAAGAACTATTGTTTTGGTGTTGAGCACCAAACGTTTTTTACATATAAGACTGTGTTAGTTAGATTTTGGATTTAATAGTGTAAAGCGCATAGAGCCTGCTGTTGAGCGGGGATATGCGCTATACAAATGCTATTTATTATTATTATTATTATTATTATTATATTATTATTATTATTATCTGTCAGTGAGGAACAGACGCCACAAAACTGCAATGGGTTCGGTGGTCAGGGGTAGAATGAACAAAAACTTCCCTCGTGAGAATCACTGGATGGCTTGATTTAGTGGAGTACAACGTGCAAGTCGAGCTCAAACATCATGTCTTACGCTTATGTTTGTCAAATGGCATTTAAGCAGACATCTTCATGCGTAGCAAAGCATTTTTTTACAGGACAATTCTAGGCATTTTTTGGAAAACAAAATCAAATCAACGTTGGAGTGGTGACCAGTAAATAGCCCATATATGTTTTTTCTACAGGTATGTGAAGTTCCATGAAACAGCATCTGAAGAAAAGCGACTTTGCTCCCAATTCAGACCCTTTGTTTGCACACTCTTTAACGTTTGAGATGAAATGACATATAATTATGTCCAAAGTTTGATAGAGTCGATGCCCAGAAACACAAAAACAATGGCTCCCAAGAAAACCAAAAACATTTGTGCTAGGTGTGTAGTGTCTGTGATATGTTATGTTGTTTCTAAACTTTTTTTACCCCATCCTGTTAGATCTTTCTTGATCTTCCTCTTTATTTGAAATCAGATTCACTGGTGTGGTAAGCTCTAACCGCTATTTGTTTCTGATTCATTCTGGTTAGATGTCCGTACCATTTGACTATTTGACGCTCTATTACGGCGTTTCTTTCTGTGTAGGATGTAATCTTCCTCGGTCTTTGATTTTGCAACTTGTTTAAAGCCTTTTTCTTTAGCTGGATGGCTTCCTTCACTTGGTCATTCCACCATACAGCTGTTTTCCTTTTCTGCCCTCCTATTTTCCTGGTGTTGCACTC